GCAGCGGCTGTTTGGATACAGTCTCCGTGTTGTTTGTTAAACATGGACGTGTTGATGTCACACCGTGAACCCGTTTACACGGCGCCGACGCCGTACGACTACAGTAGCCTCCGGATACGGACCGTTTACATGAATACGGTGCAAACGAAAATCTGTGTCTAAGCCGAGTTGTAGAATCACTGTAGTACATGTGCCAGGCCTGTATGTGGCGCTGTGTCGACCACACTCTAACTTGCTAGAACTTGAACCGGGAGTTTGGAAAATGTGTATGAAACTGGCAAACTGTAAACAAACCCCGAAAAGGAAACAGGAAAAGGTTGCGTTGGCTAACTGTTGCTCACGAAATAGCTGAATAATCTTCTTTAGCTAGGTCAGAAGGGGGGGTGGAGAGGGGCTGACCAATCATCCCAATCACAGATCCTGCTAGCCTTTAGCTCACACTCGCCGACCGTAGCTTCAACAGTGAGGAATGTTAAAATGTCCGCCCTGTGTCGTCACTGTGTCTCCAGGGCGACGAGGCGAGTGTGTTTGGAACCCGGCCCCCGCCGCAGCCTACGTACCACGGTGGAGCCAACGACGACACGACCAGCGACGAAGAGCACATGGTCATCTGTGAAGAGGAAGGAGACGATGATGTCATGGGTGAGTCAGAACCACTTCCACCAGGGGTCAGCGTTTCTTCAAAATAGACAATGAACTTGTTGCACAAGAATGTATTAGTAACATTAAGTTGTTAATTATCTTTTTGTGTATATATTTTAAAAAGAAAGAAAAAAGACTTTCTAAAAAAGTGTTTTTTTGACCATATTGTTGACCTTTTGACCTCAGAGGATTCCTGTCCTGAAGGTTCCATCGACCTGAAGTGTAAAGAGAGAGTGACCGACAGCGAGGAGGAAGAATCAGACGGACAGGTACGGGGTGGGGGGTTCTGCACTGATCACAGCAACAGCATGTTGCATAGCATCTGTAATGATATTTTGAGCGTAAAGGAAAAAAATGGTTTCTTGAAGAACATTTATATCTGGGTGCGTTCACACCTCGACCGACAATGTGTTGTCACCCGTCACAGCTTTGATCCCCCCCCCCCTCTTCATCTTCTTTTTCTCCCTCCAGCATCGCTTCCAGCCGGTCGCCCGCACCATTCTCCCCACCACCACCTCCTCCTCCCCTCCGCCCGTGCCTCCCTCCGAGTCCGTCTCGACTAAAGAGAACGGAGTGGGAGGAGGTGCAGGAGGAGCTGCGGAAGACGGTTCCGAAACCAAAGGAAGGAGAGGAGCAGAAGGAGGGGAGGAGGGGAGCTGTGAAGGACCAAAGAGAGGAGAAACTCCAACAGGAGGAGGAGGAGGAGGAGGAGGAGGTGAAGGTGGACAGGCCGACAGTGTGACACCAAACACGGCCACTTCTCTGGCCCAGCAGGGTCTGACCCAGGTCCGCCTGGCTCCCACAGTGGTGACCAACGTGGTCCGACCCATCGCCAGCAAACCAGTGGATGGAGCCATCGCCCTCGGCGCCCTCCCCCAGGACAAGAAACCCACGCTCCTGATTGGAGGAGGCGGAGCTCAGCGGCTGCCGATCCCAGCGGGGGGTGGGTACCTGTCCCCCTCCTCCTCCTCTTCTCCTGCCCCGGTCTGTGTCACCCCAATGGGGAGCAGCAACCTGGTCACTAACCTGGTTCTGGGGGGGTCGTTTCCCGCCGCCCACCCTGTGCAGGTCCTGACCCCGCCCGCCCAGCCACAGCTCACACAGACCCCTCATCCTTTCCTCCAGCCCCAGCTCCACCCGTCGGGCTCCAAACCACTAACACAGGTCCAGTACATCCTCCCCACTGAGAGCCCCTCCTCCCCTCAACTCACCCACCAGCAAATCGTCTCCCTGCCCCCTAACGCCGCTCTGGCCAATGGCGTGCAGTCGGGGGCGGGAGTCAGAGTCAGCC